CGTGAGTTTGATGAATGAGGATTGGTTTGTTTATATAGGAGAAGAAAACTCGAGGAGGAAGGTTAAGACTGAGGCAAGTTGGATTTGGGCCTGTGGGGCCCATTTACGATTTTTCTTTTTTTCCAACTTTTTCTTTTCTTTTTTCAACGCTTTTCTTTTTTACTGTTCACTCTAATAAAGAACACATAAAGTAATTTATCCTGGATTTGTAATTCCTATGCGTCATAGATTCAGGTGCGGTTTAAAGCTAGTATCCAAAATAATGTTAGATTACACTGTCATTCGTATAAAGTTGGGGCGATATATAACTATTTATATCACACCAACAAAAACACATACTATATTAGAAGCAAAAAACCATAGTTTTGGAAAGAAAACAAAATATCAGAAGTTTAAAGGGAAACTTTGTTTTGATATGAATGTGTGTGTTTACTGGTTTTTCTTTAAATGTTATTATGTTATCATGTGGATGGAATTTCATATGTGATTTGTTTTTTAAAAGGAAGTAAAAAGTTGCTGCTTCTCTATTGGTCCACATCTTTTTCACATTACCTTCTACATAATTTCTTTTTTTTTTGTCACAACCTTCTACATAATTTCTTTAAACATATTTTCCATTTGTGCATTTTGTTTCAATAATAAAATTGATAATTCAGACAAGTGTCATATAGTCATATTTAAATCAATTCATGATTCTATTAAAATATTTTTGGAATCAATCGAGAATATTCCTTATATTTTTTATTTTTTTAGAATTTGTTTTCAATGTATCGATANCATACATTAAAATCAGAAGAAATTTAATAAAAATGCTAATTTGAGTAGAATTGTAGAATGTAAAAGTAAGAATGCTTTAGTAGAATGTTATATAATAACAAAAATCTAAAAATAACCTTTAGATATGTAGTGGACAACAATGCAAGTTGAAATCAATTTGAATATTTTCTGAATTCTATTATATTTAGTAATAGAATAATGTCTTTTAGTTTACAATTCGCATCCTCTATCTTTTCTAAATTGAGTTATTGATAACTCATTTTTCTATTGGAATAGTCTATATGTAGTCTAACTCAATTTGTGCTCGTATACTAAAAAGATTGGTAAAAGTGTGTGCCAATGATCTAAATTGGTAAAATCAATCCCCTTGTACTGGTGACACATGACCATTAATTTGGCATTAGGGCCATCAAACCTTTCTTTCTTAATATTACGTATTTTCAGACAATTTTCTGTGATATCAATAATACAATTTTCAGACAATTTTCCGTGTTATCAATAATACAATTACTTTTAATAAAGCATAGCAATATATAACTGTACTGTGTGTTAGGTGACACATGACCAGGAATTGGGTAACTGAGTACAAGTAGAGTACCAAATGGACCACGATACCTTGTTACAATGTTTTATTTTCTTCGTAATACCAACAATCCGATTAATAACATATAATGTTAAAGAGTTTTTTAGGTAAAAGAAAAATGGTAAACGATACTTTTTAGGTAGCATACAATCAAACCCATATGTTTTGATTAGTTATAGTTGGAAAATTACTATCAATCCGATTAATTACCAATAATACTATTGTTTTTTTATTAGTTATAGTTTGAAAATTACTATCAAACCCTATGTTTTGTTTGACCACTCTTTTAGTATAAAGAGATATGTTTACTCAATAAACTGCTTAAAATAAAGATGAGACATTCACCTGAAGAAACTTAACCAAACTTGTAAACACCAAACAATAGTTAAATTGATGATAAAGTACTAAATATTGTTCTAAATTTTTCAAAAAGACCATATTATGGGTCCTTAGACAAATAAACCATATTATAAATTAAGCCATATGCGAAAAAATGCATAAAATTAAGAAAGAAAGGATACATCATTTTTACACCAAAATGAAGAGGCAACTAAAGAAGATAAATTTCAAAAAATGCTACTTTTCAAGTGTCATTTTACAAAAATGTCATGTTTTTGAAATTTTTACAAAAATGCCATTTTTTCAAAATTATTTTTTCTTTAGATTATTTATGTTTGGGTTAATTATATTCTATTAGGGTTTAGTTTTGAGTGTTTAAGGGGTTTTAGGTGTCAAAACATTTTTTAGGGTTTAGAATTTTAAGATATAGACGTTATAAATCTATAATTAGTGGTATTTTTCTAAATAGACATTCATAAATGATATTCTTGCGAATGTACACATAAAAAGTGGTATTTTTATAATTGTCACATTTACTATTGTTTTTATTAGTTATAGTTTGAAAATTACTATCAAACCCTATGTTTTGTTTTTTGGACCCTATGTCTTTAAATATTATTTTCAGAAAAAAATTCTGTTGTCAGTTGCCAGTATTCAATAATGCAGTTACTTTTTCAAAAAGACCAATATATATCCTTTATTTTATTGTGCCGATAAAAATGAAGGAAAGAAAAAACAGGCAATAAATTGACCAAAGAAAGTAAGTTTGGCCTATAAAGATAACAAAATAATATAGTAATAATTTTGGTTTGATGCTGTTTAGTTATAAAAAGAATAAGATTCTGTTGGTCACGAACGCTAAGCTATGAGCCGCCACGTGATGGTCTTACGTGGGGAGTGGTTGCGTTATGACTTATGCACTTTCCTCTTTGCTTCTCTCAATTTTAGTCGTGCGAGTTTAGTCGTGTGATTCGATAATATTGCCGGTCCTGAAATTTAAGGGATCGAATTTTTTTGAAAAAAAAATTAGAGGATTTTTGACATATTTTAAAAAGTGAGAACAAATATTAAAATTTTGAAAATTTAGGAATTTTTTCATAAAACAAAAAAAAACTATGAACTTTTAATATTGAGGTCTTAAGTTCACGTTTCATTTTGATAGGTCTAAATCCGGTTATGTTCGATAATATCAAATCCGAAAATGATATTCATCCAAAAAATC